AAACAGAAGAGCATAGCTGTGTTGTAATATTCCTTATTTACAAAATAACCAGAGGGCTGGATTTGATCCTCAGACCATAATTTTACAACTTCTACCATAGACTGTGAACTATTTTTAGTAGTTGAAGATGAGTTTTCATATATGCTGGAACTATAAATCCTAGTTAAGTTCCTTCTAGAAAATGTGTTATGCAAACACTTCTGGAATTGTATTCTGCTGTGTACTGAAAAGTATATTACTGAATGTGATACTTTATCTTGGATGTCAAACATTTGGATATGCAGAAACAACTACAAGTCATTTAAATCTGATGGTGGTGTAAATTAACTAGGCTCTGCTTCTGTTTAATTGTTGAGAGACTGTTGATGCCTCACACAGCTATAACATAATACATTCTGACTGAAGAACTATTTATAGACTGGAAAATCAGTTTTTAAACATGTCAATTGTTATTGATAACAGAACAAATATGACAAAGGCTAAGAGTGATTTGGGAATTATAAGGATACAATGTTTTGTTCATACACCCTTCATTACTGTAGTCATAAAGCAATTATAATCTCAGCAGAAAGATAGTGAGCCACTTCATCATACTTCAGTCAGACAAAAATACATGATGTCCAAAGATTTTAGAATTGCCTTGTAATATATTCAACAAGATGTTTAAACAAGATGGAATAGTAGCCCTGGCTGGTAAATTAAATGGTTAGAGCATCGGCCCATGCACCAAAGATTCGTGGCTTTAATTCCTAGTCAAGGTCATGTACCTGGGTTGCAGGTTTGATCCCCAGTCCTGGTTAGGATGCATGCAGGAGACAACCAATTGTCTTACACATTGATGTTTCTCTCTCTCTCTCTCTCTCTCTCTCTCTCTCCTCCCCTCCCTCCCTCCATTCCACTCTCTCTAAAAATCAATGGAAAAACATATCGAGTGAGGATTAACAACAACAACAAAAAGATGGAATAGCATCCACTACATGCTTAAAAGTCATCTTGAACAAAACTAAAATAATAAGTTTTTTAGATGAAAACAATATGTCTTAACTTATTAAAACTGCTTGCAAATAAAGTACTTTGCTCGCTGGAACCCGAGGAAGAAGTAACCAAAACCATGCTCTCAGAGTGCGAGCATTTCTTATGTGATAGCTGCTTGAAAGATTATCTTATTCTACTCCAAGAAGATGCTAATACGATGCACATGAAATGAAACTGATACACAGATGGGAAAACTAAGATGGTTGGTTTCTTGAAAGCCACATTTTTAGATCCAAGGTTTAAGGACAAATTTTATTCATGTGAATGTGTAAAACAGCAATTTCAGGCAAACATAAATCTATTAGGAATAAAAAATATGTGAGGACAACATTTTCAGAAAATATTTTCTTCAATGAGTACTAGAAGCTTCTATTTGAAGGACTGATTCAACCAAACTGTGCCATCATCAGCAACTGAAATGGAGATCAATGTTTACTTTAATTTGTTCCTATTAAAGAGAAAGGAAAGCTTAATAATTTTGTGGCAGCATCAACAATAGTAGTATAATGGCAGCACTAACGAAATGCTAACTGCTACTGTGCCCTCCATAGGTAAAAGTGTGGGGGAGGAAGAAATTTTCCTCTATCCTTCTAGGTTCTTCTGGCTGGTCTAATAATCATCATGAGACAGATTAACAAGAGAAAATAACCAAATTTAATTACATATGTATGTATAGGAAGCCTACACATATCAGCAACTCAGAGACCCCACATACATGAGAGTTTCAGGGACAGAAAGGGAAAATGAGGTATATATGGCATCCTGAGCTAAGGATGAGGTAAGACGCTCTAAGGCAGTGGTTCTCAACCTGTGGGTCGCGACCCCTTTGGGGGTCGAACGACCCTTTCACAGGGGTCGCCTAAATACATCCTGCATATCAGATATTTGCATTACGATTCATAACAGTAGCAAAATTACAGTTATGAAGTAGCAACGAAAATAATTTTATGGTTGGGGGTCACCACAACATGAGGAACTGTATTAAAGGGTCATGGCATTAGGAAGGTTGAGAACCACTGCTCTAAGGCTTCAGAGGGGAGAAGGGTTACTTGCAGATAGATAAGAAGAGCAGATGTTCGGTAATTAGAAGTTTTCCCTGGTCATAAAAGTTATTTCTGGTAATAACTCTTACTATGGGCAAGGGCTCTAATTTAAATTCTTTAAAGGAGAACCTACAAGGTCTTGCTTGATTGCCTTCAGCTCAAAATAATCCACATGCCAAGCAGCACGTCTTGGGAGGCCTGTTCTGAACCCTTTCAAAAGAGAGCATTTTTTATTTGGTAGATAACCCTACTGTTTATTTCCAGGTATATTCTTCTCTGTTCTTAGGTGTGCAGAGGATTACATTCATTCTGACCTTAAAGTTGGGCACAGGTATTTTGACTACTTTGGGTTCATGAAACGTGAGTGAAAGTAACCTGTGAATATCTAGGCCATAACATTTTGCTGCCAGTGGTAAACACCCTAGTCCTCTCTTTGTCTGCTGCAGTGAATGAACCCTGAGCCTCATTTTGAGGTGTGAGCATGAGAAAATGGTGGAGTTTCCATTAGTCTGCCAGCCCATGATGGATACATAGCACAAACAAAAATAAATCTTTTGTTTTTTTAAGCCACTGGGATTCTAGGATTTACCCAAACAATGCCTAGCTTATCCTGACTGGTGTACTAGTAATTTGGTGTCATAAATGTAGGGTATAATGACCCCAAGAAGCAAGCTTACATTGGTGAGAAATAAATATTCCTGAATGGAATGTCAAACTTTAAAATCTGAATATTAACATTTTAATAGTAACATTGTAATAATAGTTTTAAAATTAGTAATATCTAATTTTAATATTTCATGGTGATTCTGGTATATTAGAAGTTTATTATAAAACTAGGGGCCCAGTGCATGAATTCATGCACCTTGAAAGGAACTGTGGGCCGTGAGGCTGCAGTGGGCACAGGGGCAGGTCTTGGCCCATCCTCTGCGCCCCCACCCGGCCCCTCACGCCAAAGCCCCTGGTCCCCTGTCTGCCAGCAGCCTCGCTCTCACCACTGCTGCTCACACCCGATGATAGCACAAAGCGATTTGGGCTGATGCCAGAAGCGGATGCAAGTGGGGCCTGTGCCATCAGCAGTTGCAAGCAGTGGCTGCTGCCCTGATCGCCCCTCAGGAGCAGGGGGAGGTGGAGAAGCCCTCAGGGGCATTTGGGGCGGGCAGCCACCACTAGCACCCGCTGACAGTGCTGAGCGATTGGGACCAGTGCTGGGCGCTGGCAGCGGGTGCGAGCGCCAGACGGGACCATAGTGCGTGGGAGCAAAGAATTTTCAGTAAGCACCAGAGGCTCACCCTGATGACAGTGACCGGCACCCCACCTTGGTCTGGCGCCCCTGCTCACCTGCTCCACCATCCTGCCACGGCCGACGCCCGCCATGTTTCGCGCTCTGCCTCCTGCTGCTGACGCCCGCCATGTTCCACGTGTGCCCCTGGTGGTCAGCTCACATCATAGTGACCAGTTGTTCGGTTGTTCCACCATTCGGACTATTTGCATATTAGGGTTTTATATATATATATAGATGGTGATAGTCTGCTTCATGCAAATATTGACTTTAACATGCAACTATTTTGTATTCAGCCAAAATGTATATTTGGTGCCCCTCTAAAAAATATTAACACATTAAGCGCCCCGTCACTCACCGATGACTGACACTATACTTTCCATCCGGAAGACAAAACAGGCTGGGTGCTTAATGTGTTAAACAAAATAATATGAATAAAAGCTTGGTTATGTACCCTTTACTTGAAAGTTACTTGACAGAAACCTGAAATGATTTGTAATTAAGTCACAAATTTATTCTAAGGAAGAATACCTTTATCTTCTGGAATTTAGGCATATTTTTTTACTGCCATCTTGCATCCTCTATCTTGTCTCTTCTGCTGCCACCAGCTGGCTTCCACTACTGATAAATTCCAGAAACCAGCAGGATTCAATTCAATGTTTTGTTTTGACTGCTGGGTCCCTGATGAGAACACCAAGTCAGTTGAATAAGCAAATTTTTAGGTTTGGAACAGAAAAACACAATCAACTTATTTACTTCATATCTTGGGTAATCAGATAGCTACACAGCAGCTGGTACTTGTCCCAGCAAGTGGTCCAGACAAGGCTTCAGGCTAACAAAAGGGAAGACATTTCCATTCTTAAGTTAATATTCTTCTCCCAGGGAGTTATATAAGAGCAAAGGTCAGCTCAAATACAATTGTGCACCAGTAGTCTTAATGCAGTTTTAGGTTTTAATAACGTCAGAAGTACAAATTCTACAAACTTACACAAAACATCATTTGAAAGTAAAATTATTCCAATTTCCTTCATGCTTATTTGATCTTAACATTTTTTGAACAGTAAACATATTTCAATTACTTTTTTTCAGTTAATATTTGCCATCCTCTATTAGGGGAGGTAAAAATTCTGAAATTTAAAATTATTCAAACTTCACAAAATGAGTAAGTGTAGAAGCAATTGAAGTAAACATTCAGGTGATGCTTTTTTTGTAAGTATGTTTCATTTATACTTCTGAAATTATCAAAACCTAAAACTGCAATAAGACTTTTGGGACACCTGTATCTGGAAAACTGTGAAGCCATAGGATGCTCGATTATAAACTCTTATAATTTACACCCAGCTATGTCTAAAATAATTTAAAACATTTTATAGTAACACATATACACACATGTATACAAGGAGCTGAATCATAAGGTCTCTCAAGATAGAAAGTTAAGATGCTAAATTATTAAAATTTTAGGAAAAGTATGGACAGTGAGGCAAACTAGTAGCAATATCTGTAATATAGGTCTAGTATTACACTTTATTTTTCCTGTAGAGGATGCTTTGGAGGTGCATTTCTATTTGGGATACTTGTTCTTAAGACAGTATTATGTCCTTGATATTTGGGTATAAGTATTAGTTTTTTTGTGTTTTTTTGTGTTTTTTTTTTCTGAACAGGTTTTATTACAGACAGGGAGGGGCTGGGGCTCAGTCCTTCTTGGCTGCTGCCTTCCTCATGGCTGCAAGGACATTGCTCAGCTCCTCTCTCTTCCTCTTGGCGCGAATGTGTGTCCCCACCTTGGCGCGAATGTGCGTCCCCACCCTTTTCTTGATGAATTTCAGGGCCCTCTTGTCCTTAGAGACCTTGAGCAGCTCCATGGCGCGCCGCTCATAGGGGGCAAAGCCACACACCTCTCGGATCATGTCCCGAACGAACTTGGTGTGCTTGGTGAGGCGCCCGCCGCGGCGGCGGTGCCTCGGCTTGCTCACGTTCTTGGTCACCTTGTGGCCCTTGTTGAGGCCCACGGCCATGGGGTAGCGCAGAGCCATGGTGGAGGCCCTGGGGTACGGATGGCGGCGGATCCCACCGGCGCGGAGATGAACTCTGTTTTGTTTTTTTTTTGAGAGAGAGAGAGAGTGAGCCCTCTGGGCATAAAACCTGCAACCTTTTGCTATATGGTCAATGCTCCAATCAACTGAGCAATCTGGCCAGGGCAGGTATTAGTATTTTTATTGATGATGCTTTTCCAGAAAAGGTAGAACAAATAACTTCTAAAGGCTTGAACATTAAGAGAATGCAGGAAAACACTCCATAAATATTAGTTTTCCTTCCCATTAGAGATCATCTAGTTCAGTGGTTCTGTCTTGGCTGCACAGTGGAATGACCTAAGGAGCTTAAAAAAATACTAATGCTTGGGTCCCATGCTGAGATTCTAATTCAATTGCTCTAAGCTACATAACTTTAAAAAGAAATTTTAAATGGACAGTAATAGGAATAAATATGAAATAGTGGGATGAGATTTTTTTTTCTAATGCCAAATTTAGGACCTATAGTGACAGGGCTTAACAACAGTTCCTGTGGGATTTAAAACAACAACAGCAACAATAACAACAACAAAAAACCTGCCCTGGTTGGAGCATCATCCCATGCACCCAAAGGTGTTGGATTCCATTCCCTGGCAAGGCAGATACCTAGGTTTTGGGTTCGATCCCCAGTCAGGGTATGTATGGGAGAAAACCAATCAATGTCTCTTTCTCACACTGAAGTTTCTCTCTCTCTCCCTCCCTCTCTCTCTAAAAATCAATAAAAACATATTCTTGGGTGAGGATTTTTAAAAAGTTTAATAACCTGTAAACTCAGGAAAACTGAGTAGATCTCCAAAATGGCTAAAGCCACCACCTTTAGTATTATCTCCAGCTGAAGACAAAGGATATTGGGGTTTGGGAGGAGGCCAGTATGGAAGGTGACCAAGAAAAGCACAGTAAACAAGGATAAGGTGTTATGCAGGATTAAGGTGTTTGCCTTTTCCATTGATAAAGTGTTCCTCCTACTCTTCCTGGTACAGAGAGGGCCACACCTTTGCAAATAAAGATTCCTTTATAAATGTAAATATCTCTTCCAAACGGGTAACTTCTAGTTGGTTTTCAGAGCTTTTCTTAAGTCTGTTTTTAATAACCAGTTTAAAATAATATGCCAAAAAGGCATATTGTGGGGTCTCAAATTCTCCTCTGCTACAGCTCTCAAATACAGGGTTTGACAAAAGTAGGCTTGCAGTTGCGAATATGTGAAACATGGTTTATTCTTGTATTGCTATTTATTAATTACTTTACTTATTTTTAAAATATATTTTTATTGATTTCAGAGTGGAAGGGAGAGGGAGAGAGAGATAGAAACATCAGTGATGAGAGAAAATCACTGATTGGCTGCCTCCTGCATGCCCCACACTGGGTATTGAGCCCACAACCCAGGCATGTGCCCTGACCGGGAATTGAACCCGGGACCCTTCAGTCCACAGGCTGACACTATCCACTGAGCCAAACCAGCTAGGGCAATTGTTTTATTTTTTCATACAAACAACTGTAAACCTACTTTTGCCCCATCCTGTATTTTGAGCAAAATAAACCAGACACAAGAGTGCCTATTGTATGATTCTATTTACTTAAAGAAGGGAGGAGGGGATTGACCAGGAAGGAAATTCCTGAGATGTAGATGTTCTTTATTTTTATTAGGCTACACAAATAAAACTTATTAAAACAATGAAATGGACAGTTAACTTCTGTATTATTTCACTAAATGTAAATGACACTTCAATAAAAAGAACAAATAAAAGTACTAACTTAAATCTGGATACCTATAACAAGGTCTGGGAGGTGGGGACGATTATTACTTCAGGTAACCCCAAACTAAAAAGCAACAGGAAACCCTAAACTGGAACCAGAGAGCATGAGCAGACAGCAGGGAGGGACAAAGCCTAAGAAATCACTAGAGGGCGGGCAGCCGCCGCTGAACAGATGCCGGGACGTCAGCACGCCAGTGTCCCACGAAAATAAGCCCCCGCCTCCCTTTTCCGGCGCGCATGCGTCGGTCCGTGTTTTACCGGAAAAGGCCGGTGGGAAACGGCGCCATCGCGAGAAAGGAGCCGGTGGCCGGCTTGTTCCTGTGCAGATGGCGTGGTTGTAGGCATCGCGCGTCCGGTTCATTGCACGGTCGCAGGGAGGAGGACGCCGGGGCTCGCCTATCCTCCGCTGCCTCCGTCGCTGCCATGATTCCGGTGTCGCTGGTGGTGGTGGTGGTGGGCGGCTGGACTGCCGTCTACCTGACCGATTTGGTGCTGAAGGTGAGGGCCTCCGATCCACTGCCCAAGCACTGGGGCGCATGGCCCGAGGCTTTTTCTCTTCTACCTCGCGTTTCCCGGTCTGGAAGCCGTGCGGCGGGTGTCCACGTGCGGCCTTCCGCGTGGTGCCGGGGCCCGTGGAGTACATTTTGGCGGGCCGCGCGCGGGAGGGGTGTGGTGATCTGCGCAGCAGCCGCAGTCGCATTGCGGGGCGGTGCCCCGCAGCCTTTGGGTCCAGCCCTGGAGGCGATGGTAGTGGTCCTGGGAGGGCCGGGGCATGCCTTAATCAGCGGCAGTGCCCCAGGGTTAAAAATGAAATGTCCGCATAGGAAAGGTATTGTTACCCCCCATTGTCTTTGAGGCCACGACCCTCTAGAGCAGTGGTTCTCAACCTTCCTAATGCCGCGACCCTTTAATACAGTTCCTCATGTTGTGGTGACCCCCAATTTCATTGTTACAAATTAAACATAATTAAAGCATAGTGATTAATCACAAAAACAATATGTAATTATATATGTGTTTTCCGATGGTCTTAGGCGACCCCTGTGAAAGGGTCGTTCCACCGCTGGTTGAGAACCGCTGCTCTAGAGACTCTGGTAGGGGAGTGAATCTAAATCAAGTTGTGTTTTACGTCTAAAACTTCAAAGTACACACGGTCATCTGGGGTTCCGGTTAAAATGCACATTCTGATTCATCCGGTATGGGGCGGGGCCTAAGGTTCTGTGTTTCCAACCAGTTCCCAAGCGCTGCGAATGTTGTTTCCCAGGCTACCAGCCTATACTTCAAATAAATACTTAGTAGCAAGGATTTAGAATTCTGACTTGTCATATTCTAATTTGCATCCTCCACCAACCCTTCTTCACATTGACTATCCCTCCCCCACACATACACATACACACACACTCTGGGTACATGGTCCATTCTCCAGTTATTTGAAAAGGGTAGCAAAAATTATGAACATTTGACCGTATGCTTCTAGCAACCTTTTGAAATTGAATATTGGAGGGTGGGGGTAACTGTGTGGAATGAAATTATATAAATTCTAAAATGTTTAATAAAAATTTTAATTACGAATAGTAAAACCTTGTCATGAACATCGTCTTAAATAGTTTCGTTTGTGTTTTAGGTTTAATGGTAAAATGAAATATTTGTTCTATTTTGTTGCATTTGAACTTGCAAAGTGAGGAGGTTACACAGTAGAGTCCTTACTTAGATCCAGGATTGGGCTCTTCCACTTCCCAGTGGTTGTGAGCTTGTGCTTCAGTTTCTTCATCTTTAAAGTAGGGGTAATAATAGCAAAGATTTCCTGATACAGTAGAGAAGATTGCATTAGTACATCCACCAAAAGCCTTGCTACTCAACCTGAGGTTCAAGGACCAGCAGCACCCGTATCATCTGGAAGCTTCTCAGAAATGCAGAATCTCAGTCCTCATATCTGGACTATAGAATATGACTGTGCATCCTCACAGGATTTCCTAGGTGCTTCCTCTGCACATACTTGGCATAGTGCTTAGCATGTCATAAGCAATACAGACCACTGCTTCTTTAAACAGTGATTTTGTTGTTTAGAAAAAAAGCAAAGCCACATGATTTCTTCATATTGCATGTGTGACAAAATAAAAGGGATTTTTCAAACCTCTGTAGTCTCTGGTCAAGTGTGTGAGGTGATCAGGATGGAATTTTAATTTCAGTAACAGCCCCTGGCTCAAAAGACCCCTATTCCTTGAGCAAAAATACCTCTTATTCAGCATATCTGCCTGGGGAATGCAAAGGCCTCAAAGCTTTTGGAGGCTGTACCTTCAACTCTGTTTCAGGGAGTTGTTCTGCTATTCCACCCTTGGTTCTTTTAGGATTTTCTCTGTGAACATCTAGTCGAGGGGTGTGTCAGTCTCCTTTAAAAGTCTTGGAAAACAAGTAGGTTTCAGGAACTTCACCTGAAGATTGAGAGCAGAGAACGTTACAGATCCAAAGGCAAATAGATACCTATATTCAGACTCAGGTCATTTTTTATGACTGTGATGGGGTGAAATATTCTTCTAGAAACAGATAAGTTTCTCAAATGGATGGGCATTGATATGACAAAATACTAACTGTACTTTCTGTAACTGAGGTAATAGGGGCCCGTGCATATAAAATGATTTACATTATCCAAAATCTGTACTGAAGGACTTTAGACTTTCCTAAAAATAAAACTCTTGTTAGGCTGTATTTAAGCAGCTATCCTGCCAACCCTGAATGTAAGAGAAGTTACTGAGCTTAAGTTGATGATCAAAGTAGGCCTAATTTCTTAGGGTTGTTCGGAAAAGAATAGAAAGCTGACTCCAACTGACCTGTTTCCTCTGTTTGGTTGGGGTCTATTTAAATTATAATACAAGACCTTTTTCTATGGTAGCAAATGGTAGCCACTAACTAACGTGGCCATCAAGCATTTGAAATGGAGCTAGTCTGAATTGAGATGGGCTGTAAGTATAAAGTTGAAACCAGATTTCAAAGTCTTGGTGCATAAATAAATAGAATTGTAAATTATTACAATATTTAAATTTTTTATTAAATTTATTGGGGTGACTGGGTTTCAAAGTGTAGATTTCTATGATGCATAATCTGCATATTGCATTGTGTACCCACCACCCAAAGTCAGATCATCTTCCATAACCATATATGTGGCTTGCTTTACTTTTTATTACCCCTCACCCCCTTCCCTCGTAACCACAGTACTGGTAGCCATGGTACTGTTTTATAT